TGGGCCCCTGGTCGCGAAACGGCACTTCGGCACCCGTCAAGCGGTCAGTGGGCCCCCAAAAACGGTCAGGCTAGGTCGTCTGTAACGGTTGTTTCTAGAATTTTTGAAATTCCTGCATTTGAAAACATACCNGGAAGATTCGTTCAACTGGAAGTCAGGGTTTTCTTTTCTGGGCCCCTGGTCGCGAAACGGCACTTCGGCACCCGTCTAGCGGTCAGTGGGCCCCCAAAAACGGTCAGGTTGGGTCGTCTGTGACGGTTATTTCTAGAAATTTTGAAATTCCCGCATTTGAAAACATACCAATTTATAAAGCAGTGTAAGATTGCCACAGTTGATACAGAGCCAAATTTGCATTATTTGTTCTTTTCATTCGTTTATATTAAGATTTTTATCCGTTTTTGACTTCTGGAATCAAGTTGGAGACAGAAGATTGATGTTTTCCGTCATTTTTGTGCGGAGCTTTCTTTGTCCTTAGAACGCGAGCTGTCGGATTCCCAATTCAGCATTTTCACAATGCTCCATTAATATAAATTGCCTCTAAGTAAGGTGGAATTTGACACAACACAGGAGTTTGACATCGGAATGGTTCATGTCACAAGCAATATCTCCGTCATTTGTCCTACTTGAATCACACGTCCATTTCCTTGCATCGTCTCGTTCCAATGCCTTTACCTTCGTTTTGCTTTGAAAAATTTTTCAGCGATCGTTTTTTCTCGATATCAGAACAACAGTGATATTCATGTTTGTGCAGGACAGCAGTAATGTGGTGTTTTGGCTTAACGGATGCGCAAAAAAAGAACGAGTGGATGTTGTGCGATGAAACGGTTCCCTTCCGCATCCAATGCAAACGCTATTCTTCGGATTTGTCGATGATTTAACTGCAAAAAATGGATTGAAAGTGGGTATTGAGTGGTTTACACTGAGCCGCATTTCACAAAAGTAACTCAAAGCTCAAATTTTGGATATGTTTGGGAAGAGTTGAGATTAACGACGAAATCACCACCCAGCAATATTTGAACTGATTGGTCAGTTGAAGTGGAGGAAAACAAAGGTATTGTTAGCCTTTGAGATTGCTTGATTAAGATTAAGTAGGCGTGATTTCCGATTGCAACGATTGGTCAAGCTGAATCTTCAAGTTTTTCTCGAAAATGTCAACACAGGTAGATCCAAGTGACCGTTGTGATTGTAATTTATAACCTATGAAACTAGGATCGTATGAAATATGTTCTGTTTCGACAGAGTTGCCTGTGTTATTGAATTTCCATTTTTCAATCAGTATTGAAGTTTTAAAAGAAGTACTGTTGGATTAGAGGTGACCTAGTAGACCTTGCATATTTTCTCGTAATAAATTGCCGATCGCCATAAGCAAACAAAGACATGCCAATAGAGAAGAGGGAACTTCTTTAATACTTTGTTTGCATCGGAAGAATGAAAAACGCCTTCATAACGGACGAAAACATTCAATTCATAAGAGATAAGAGCAATTTATTTGCGTACATTTCCGATAGAGCGTAGTCTTATCCACTACGAACCATAAGCCCTAATTATTCATTCATTTGATCACTTATTCAAATACTTTTATCAATTCCACGCTGAGCTCGTGTGTTGTTAAGACGTATCGCTTACGTCATTATTTTTCCATTAAATTACTTCCACATCACTCATTAATTACTTCGTTAATCGTATTTTGACATGTATATTTTGTTGGCTGCGAAATTTCACATATTTTAATAACTTCACCGTCTTCGATTCTTAAACATAGATCGAAATTTCGCGGGTTCAGTGGTGGAATTTTTTGCAGATTTGAATTATTAATTTCAGTATTGTATTATGACGACGAAGAGAAATATTTTATTTTATAGTCTGATGTTGAAACGGTATGGAAAAACACGTAGAACAGTATGGACTGATTGAACGATGCAGTAGGATACGTGAACAAGAGGAAAAGGAAAAGTAGAATCTTAAAGTGGAAAACGACATTGAAACGGGTTGAGTCATGGGCACGGCTTCGACAAGGAAATAAACACGAAGAGCTCTTGTAAGTTGACATCGTTTCATTCGGATATTATCTTTTAGGATTGAATTCTTCAGAGTTCATTTTGAAGTATTACATATTCTGATTATTGTTTCATAGATTATTGTTTTATCGTTCTCTCTCAGTTCATGTTGAGGTTGCTGCAACTGCAGTTTTTTATCAAAAATGTGATGGTAGTGTTCCTTTTTTATGCTAATTTTGGCATTATTATGAATAAAATCAAGTTTTAGTGGGGAAAAATTGTTGTTGTTGCATGTTAACTAAGATTTTCACGACTATTAATATATTCATATTTGAGCCGAAAACTGAAAGAAAAGCTACTCTGGTAAAGAAGGAGGATAATTTTTAGCTCTCCAAAAAAGTTTATTCACCCGAATCTATCTTAATAAAGAATAATAATATGGAATTTCAGTGCATCTGCAAATCAGAACATTGCAAGCTTAACAAGCTCGTCAACAACGTTGCAATTTTTATTGTCCATTCGTCACAATAAGATGGTGATAGCGCTCGAGGATAGTGACGATTTGATGCGACACTAGGCATTGACTGGTAGGTCGCAGGACCGATGATATCGGTACAATTGTTGTGAATGTCGTATGAGACAAGTCCGATTGAGTCTTTCCTTAGCATTGACTCTTCGAACAGTTCATCAAATGTTTTCGTTTTATTTGTAATGTTATGATCTGTTTATTTTAACTTTTGAATGTTGTATCCGTTGAATAAAATAATACTTTGTTCATATTTATTTTTATTAATTCTCGTTTATTCATTGTTATGGATGATGTGTATGTTTGGTTGAATTAAGCGCTAATAAAGATTTTGTTTCATAATTGTTCACTGTCCAATATGGCATCTGTTCATACACTGAATGACTGAAGGCATTTACCGACTGCAATATTGCATGAAAAGAGAGTTTATTTGGGTGTGTTATTTGGTTTGAGAGGATGAAGATATAAGACTTCATCAGCCAAACATCTATCTCTTTTAATGGAGGTTTGGATAAGGTGGCATTGATCGGAGGCATGATCTGAGGAGATTCTGGACCTATAGAACGAAAGCGAAACGTGATACATTCTTACAATTAGGAACTTCGTACAACTTTGTAAAAAACTTAAGTTCTTTACAGACAAAACGGTGCATATTCCAGTGGAATTGCTCAGGTTTACTCTGTTTTCTGGCTCGAGTCGTCGTCTGATTTTAAAAGCAGTGCGGTGCATGCCTGCGGTGATCGGATACAGCATTGTGAGTGTTTCAAACAGTATATTATTACACTAGTAAATAAAGAAATTGTGACTAATAATATTATGAATAAACGGAATGATGCTTTACATGATAGAGTATTACAATAGTAGGGTATTTATATTGTGACTAGTTCAAATGGCATCATGGTTATCAAATGATTATGATACACTGTTGTTGGATCCGATCGTTCAGATGACAATAGTGGTTTGATACAATGTATTGTCAGCGATTTGTATTTGATATTTATTTAATACAATGTATTTGATACAGTTAATGAATACATTGTATCAAATACATTGTATTTGATACAATATATTCATTGTCTGTCAGCAATTTCTCCAAAGCAACCAACAGGAATTCTCTAATAAATCCATATAAAATTATGACTTCATGGTAGATGTATTTTTTTAAGCTGATCAATCAAAGTTAGTGTTTATGATCTCAGATATGATCTGTTTAAGAGAATATCAAGTACGGAGAGTATGTCGTCAGGCGATTCGAAGTCGACTGATAATGGTGGTGGTGACCAAGTTGGGACGGATAAAACGAATGGGTCATCATCAGTGCAGCAGCAGCATAATAGTACAATAGTTGAAGGACAAGCCAAAATCACGTTTTCGGGACCGTCGAGTGCGTTCTACAATCCGGTTCAGGAGTTCAATCGAGACCTGACGTTCGTTTTTGCAGTGATTCTCTTCATTCGAATCGCCCCGTCTCGTCAATTTTTTATCGATACTATGATAATTTTATTGTCGCCATAATAAGGAGATTATTCAATGAACATAACCTTTCATCAATTCACATTCTTTAAGAT